CGCGGCGCCCCCTGCCGGCTGCGGAGGGCGCGCCTTAGATGGAGAGGACTTTAGGTGAGGCCGCCAGGGGGCGAAATTTCACCTGCCAGCAGGTAAAAGGTATTGCCCCGCCCCTCTAATCGATCCATTCTTCCTAGGAACGTGACTTCAGGCAGTAGTCAGATAAAAGAAAAATCAATACGTTGAGCAATGCGTTTACTTCCCAAAGATTAGAAACAACCCAAATATCTAGTGGCAGGTGAGGCAGAAGTACAGTAATTTCCGCCGTTTTTACCTAGGCCTTGCCGGGTACCAGGGAGGTCTGGTGGATACACTTCTCATGCTGTGTCTCATTTTGTCTTCAAAACGACTGTAGCGGGTATGTACTGTAACTTGCCCCACCGTGTGCAGAGAATGACATTTAGGCTTATATAAATTAAGTAACTTGACCTAGACCACACTATACAGATGAAAGGATTGTTATAATTGATGGGGTTAATCATTTTAGGGAAGCAGGATTTGCTTGCTTCTATTTTAGTTGCTGAAATTAGGATTACTGTTTGGGAGACACTGTAGTTCAGTATATGATTCCAAAACTTAAATACTTAGACTGGGTAGGTCATGTAAATGGACATAGGAGGCTGGGGTAGACAAAAGGGAGGGGTGAGGACTGCAGTGAAATTGGAAACACATCCTTTATTAAAAGGGGCAGCTGCTACTCATCTTTGGCATGGCTAGAGTTTTATGTGAAAACTTCCAGCTTTTACATACTAGCAGCTATATTCGTTTTCTCTTGCTATTAACAAATTACCATATGCTTATTGCCTTAACACAAATTTATTATCTTCCAGCTCTGGAGGTCAGAAGAAATGAGTCTGCTGGGCTAAGATCAAGGTGTCAACAGGGCTGTATTTCTTCTGGAGGCTCCAGGGGAGAATCTGTTCACTTGCCTTTCCCAGCTTCTAGAGGTTGCCTACATTCCTTGGCTTATGGCCCCTTCCTCCATCTCCAGAATCAGTAACTGTGAGTTGAGTCGTCACATCACATCACTCTGATTTCTTCAGTAGTGATCCCTCTGACTCTTCTATTCTTGAGGCCCCTTGTGATGACATTGGGCCCATTCAAATAATCCAGGATAATTTCTCCAACTGCCAAGTGCCTTTGCCTTGCAAGATAACTGTGATAATGTGAAGTATATATTTGGTCTTTGTCCTGGCATGCAACTCCTAAAATCCTTGGAATCAGCAAACTGATTAGTGTCTTTTTTATGCTAATTAGTTGACTGATGACTTGCAGTCCCTAGGTAGCTGTAGGATGGGACTGGTCATTGGAAAGACCAAGGTAGGATTAGAGGCTTGAGACTTTCAGCCCTCCCCCTCATCCTCTGGGAAGGAGACAGGGGCTGAAGCTTAAGCTGATCAATCATTTCTAGGTAATGAAGGCTCCATAAAATCCCAAAAGAACTGGGTTTAGAGAGCTTCCAGATAGCTGAACGCATGGAGTTTCCTGGAGGGAGGCACACTCAAAGAGGGCATGCATGGAAGCTCCATGTCCCTTCCCACAAGCCTTGCCCTATGCATCTTTTCATCTGAATCCTTTGTAACATCCCTTTGCGAAGTCAGACTATGTGTTTTCCTGAGTTCTGTGAGCTGCTCTAGCAAATTAATTGAACATGAAGAAAGGGTTGTGGGAAATGCAATTTATAGCTGGTTAGTCAGAAGTGCAGGTGAAACAACCTGGGGCTGGCAACTGGCCTCAGAAGTGGGTGGTAGTTTTGTGGGACTGAGCCCTTAACCTATAGGGCCTGATGATATCTCCAGGTAGTTAGTGTTGGAATTGAACTGGAGTACACCCATCTGGTATCTGCTGTAGAACTGATTCCTTATGTCAACCAAGAAGAGGTGAAAGGGCCAGGCGCGGTGGCTCACACCTGTAATCCCAGCACTTTGGGAGGCCGAGGCAGGCGGATCACAAGGTCAAGAGATCGAGACCATCTTGGCCAACGTGGTGAAACCCTGTCTCTACTAAAAATACAAAAATTAGCCAGGTCTGGTGTGCATACCTGTAATCCCAGCTACTCAGGAGGCTGAGGTAGGAGAATTGCTTGAACCCGAGAGATGGAGGTTGTAGTGAGCCAAGATCGTGCCAC